CGGTTTTTCTCATTCAAAACAAAACTTCTTTTCTTTCCAAATGATTTATTTTTCTTCCTGAATTTCTGATTTATTTTTCTTCCTGAAATTCAACTCATTTTTACAAAAATTTTTTTACGGACACTTGATTTTGGTCTTTATTGTCATTTTATGTAATTTTTGACTAATTTAATTATAGTTTCTCAAAAAAGTTAAGATTTTAAAAATTTTCTATGTAACTTAATTATACATACTTCATTCATTATTAAAACCGTACAGCATTTTTAATGGTTTGTATGGTGAACGCCGAACTCATATGAATAGACTTTTGAAATACTTGTGTAATTGCCAAAGCTCCGTTGAAGTCGATGAAAAATTGTTTACAGTGCCTTTTTATTCGAAATTTGAAAACCTTTGATAGAATTTCTGGAAAGATTAAACGCTTCCAATCCTGTTCTAGTAAGAGCGTCAGTTGAGTCTGATATGCTGAATTTGATTGAGGAACCTGAAATGGTACCCGAGTCTGTAATCTTTTAAGTATTGAAGAGAAACTTGATAGTCTTATTAAAGAAGAACAACCACTAATGCAACCAATGTGCAATTGTTCATTTCTAATGACCGTGAAACCGACAATTGTCGAGGCTGACCGGGCATTTTCTTCCGCTTCGTAACCGTTTGGGCAATGAAACTTTGATCTCGTTGTGCTTCCTTAAGTTGCATTTTAAAGCACATAAAACATAATATACTAGTATTTCCTTAGTTCTAACATAATTTCTTAACATTAATTAACCTGTAAAACTAACATGTTTTTCTCTCATTCATGTAACATTGTACTGTAAGCTGCCTTCATTTAATAAATATATTTTTAGTTAAAAATATACTATTTTGATTATATTTAATAACATGTAGGTTTTATAATGTTTTTCAATTCCGGGATTAATCCCGGAATGCCGGAATTGAGAAAGACCTCTAGAATTGCAATCCCTATATGAATAGGGACTGGAATTCCAGATCATCATGTAAAAAATGGTTTTAATTTTGTAAGCAAATACTTCGGTGAAAATTCGTTTTTGAACGAATTGAAAAGTATTTTTATTAAAAAGAAATGACCTTTGTAAACTAAATTTAAAAAAAAAAACGTTCAGATAAGAGCAATACTTTACATAGTTGTAAACTTACTTAATAATATGTTACTTAATAATAAAACTTACTTAATAATACTTAATAATATATCGTTGCAAGGTATTATTGCATACCACTACACTTATTTTTACATTATATTGTAAATATGTATACATATAAAATTAAGTGCAGTGCGGATATTTTGCGGCTTCCTTTTAAGTGGAATAATAATGGAATAATAACTCTTTGGCTTAGTAACGTAATAAATTAAAACTAATAATACAAATAATAAATTTCTATTTAAAAAGTAGATGTATTTAAATAATTTAAATGATATAAAATTGCATATGCATAAAGCACTAATAATTGTAAGTCAAAGTTTTTAAAAGATGTACTATTTAGTTTACAATTTGATCCTGTAAAAAATTAAAATTATTAGTATATTTTAATACAAAAGTTTATAATTTTTATTTTTAGGAGATCGTTTCTGGATCCTTCAAGAAGACATGATCCCCTTTTATAGTAAATGAGGTTTAAAAATAAAAAAGACCTAAAATCTTAAAAAGGGCTTCATTACGCAACACTACTGAATAATGCTTTTTTTTTTTTTTAATATCATAATATGATGAAGAGTACTACTTAAGAACTTCATTTAACATCATAATATAATGAACAGTACTACTTAAGAACTTCATTTATTCAATTGATTAATCTTTTTGTATGGAAACAGTTATAAGCCACGACGTTATTTCATTCCAATATTGAAGGTTTTCTTCCGGAATGTTAACCAAAGTTTTTAGTATATCCACAACTTTTAAGTGATTGATAGGTAATACAACTGAATAGACTTTATTAGTTGGCAGTTCAAAGTCTCCAATAGTGTTTCTTCAACAAAATTGCCACTTATCAATCAAAAAATATGGATACTGTATTTAATTTCAAGTGACATCTTACGGTATTTTGAGAATGTAAACATTATTTTGTTAGGTTTTGCTACATTTTTCCAATACGAGTCATTGCTTAAGCATGTTCTCTTGTAAAACCTGGGTCACTATGCCTTATAATAATAAAATCTTTAAAAAAAATTTTCTTAACAGTAAACTTTTCAGGAACTTTTGAGGAACTGTTAATTAGATCAATTACTTCATTAGTTTCAAAATATCTCTTAGTTTTCTTATTGTTTCAAAATCACGTTCATTTGGCATTAACGAATAACCTTTAACAGGAAACACCAAATTTATCTTGATAAATCTTTTAGATTCGACAAAATCTTATTAGGGGAAATTTAGTTAAATTCTAATGATCTCAGAAGCAGTGGCGGATTTAGTATAGGGCGTGAGGGGCGAGCTGCCCCCACGCCCCCTTGAACGGTCTAACGGTGCCCCCTAAAACAATAAAAAAAAAAAAAAAAATTATAAGATCAAATTACTGAAGACAACCCCGGTCGCCCCTATATTATTGACTTGGCCCCCCCGCGACACTAAACCTCAATCCGCCACTGCTCAGAAGTCTAACAAGTGCGTGGTTCTTGTTTTGATCAGCTCAGTTGTCACCAAAAAGGTGCAAAGTTTTAACTTTATTTAAAATTTTGTTTTTAGGTACCACATTAGCATAGAACATAACTCGCTGGAACCTTTATCATCTTCCCCTTCATAATAAATAAAAACTGTAATTTTTCGGGAAACAATGTCATTAATTACTAAGTCGTTCATTGTCTGAAATAATAGGTATCTTGTATTGGTATACATGGTAATGCCATAATGCCACGGTAATTAGCCACGGTCTACTACAAGTCTAAATTGTTTAGGTTTTTTTTCCATTTCTTTGTTTTAATCTGGAAAGATTTAAGATGATTAATGTATTTTTTTTTTAATTTTAAAATATTTAAAATGGGTACTGATATAACGAATGTGTTTTCAAAAATAATTACTTGGATGTAATTTTAAAATATTTAAAGTGGGTACTCATACAACGAATGTGTTTTCAAAAATAATTATTTGGATGTAATTAAAGATAAGTGTAAAATAGATAATGTTAGTATTAATAATTTCAAGTTACCATAATAATTGTTTTTAATTGACATATTGATTATTTTAATTAACCAGGTTAATTATTTTCAATTGCCAAAAAATATTTATCCATGTTTTAATGTCAAAATAATACTGTAATGTTATCAAACTATAAATGAATGTCATAATATTTTATTTAAAAAACAAAAATTATTACTATTTACAAAATATTTGTCTCTTCAATACAATCAGAGTTTATAATAAAAGTTTAAATTTTTAAATATTATAAATATTTATAAATACCCACGCCGAATCAAACAAACAACAATGAAAACTGTTCAAGGATAATAGAACCTTATTTGAATTTTAAAACTTAATTTGATTTAAACGAACTACCATTTAATAAATAAGTATATTTATATATATATATATATATATATATATATATATATATATATATATATATATATATATATATATATATATATATATATATATATATATATATATATATATATATATATATATATATATATTATTAGATTTAAAGATTCATAAACTTGTCTTCTATGAATGTACTCAAATATTCTTTTAAAGATTCATAAACTATGTCTTCTTATAAATGGCACACGAACATTATCTAAAATTAAAATATCTCTAACAATGAATTTGTTAGAGATATTTTAATTTTAGACAATGTTCGTTATCATAGAGCTTTAGTTTTTTCAAGATGAGATAGTACCTGTTGTGTAAATATCTGTTGTGCATAATGAGACAGTACCTGTTGTGCATGAAGAGATAGTACGTGTTGTGTAGATACATGTTGTGCTTGATGAGATAGTGCTTGGTGTGGAGATACCTGTTGCGCATTCTTTTATATTTTTACCTCAATAGTCTCTTACCTAAAAAAATGCAAAATGGTGCATTGAATATTACTAACATAAATTGCAATAACTATTTTGGGCGCATGCTTAGGTATATGATTTCGTGTTCAAGAAGAAAAGCAATTATTGACGGATAAACTTACAATTATATTTGTTATTTTTTATTAGGCAAATATTTGTAATTATTATGTTTTTAATTAATAATTTTTTTTTTAAACATTAGTTTGCATACAAACTAAAAAATGATAATATCGTAAGTAATTTAGAAAGAATCTGACTGTTTCATTTTATATTAATTAAAATATTTTTAGTATTGTCAAAATTAAATGCAACAGTGTCGAAAATGAATTTAACACATCTAAAATCAAATCGAAATGGAATGCAATATTGTAGAAATGTACTGATGCTATGACGAAATTGAATGATACATTGTTGAAATGAAGTGGAAACCCAGTATTAAAACAATTAAATACTGCTTATCATGGGTTTTACTTTAATAGCTAAATTTTTATGGCGCTCTAGGTCTGAATTAAGAGCGGGTTCAAAGAAACGTTTTTAACAAAAAAACAGTACGATATAGTCAAGAAATCAGGAGCGCTCAATAATTCGGTGGCCATTATTACTTTTGAATGTCAATTATATTTATCAAGTCTTTGCTAATATATCTTTAACAATGAAAGCCCAGTGGGCACACGACGTTATTTCGACGTTGATTTACAGTTGATTTTTAGTCGCGACGTCGTATAACCAAAAATCAACGTTGTATCAACGTTGAAAAATTTGTTTAAAACTATCAAATAAAATCGACGTTGATTCCACGTTATTTCAACGTCTATATTACGAGTTCGACCGTTCGTAATTGCAATATGAGAACTAAAACACGCATGCGTGACTTAAAATATTTTTTATTAGCTTAACAAATAACAAGTAAAGACTTAAAAAGTTACTTATTAGCCCAATAAAAACAAGTAAAGTCACACATGCTAATAAATTAGGTCATCTGTTGCCTTTTTATAAGGTTTTGAATTTGACAATTTAACAATAATACATGGCTTAACTTGTGATGCATTTAGTAAGGTAAATATTAAATGGATATTTCTTTATGACCGTATTATTTCATGAGTGTGGATTACAAGTAGAGATTACTTGATATATTATATAAATATAAAATATATATTATATATGTTTTTCTTATATATATATATATATATATATATATATATATATATATATATATATATATATATATATATATGTATATATATATATATATATATATATATATATGTATGTATATATATATATATATATATATATATATATATATATATATATATATATATATATATATATATATATATATATATGTATATATATATATATATGTATATATATATATATATATATATATATATATATATATATATATATATATATATATATATATATATATATATATATATATATATATATATATATATATATATATATATATATATATATATATATATATATATATATAAATAGGAAGAGTTACCTTAATTGGAACAGTTAAGAAATAGTTATTTATTAACCTAAGATGGCTTTTTACTAACTAATGGAAAGTTTTATTGTGTTGAATTTGTGTATGAAAATGGATGATGTTTTACAAAATAATGATTTATCAAGCTTTTTTACCAATCCATGTGATTTAAAGAGTTTGAATATTTTTTATATTAAAAAAATTTTATTAAATTTTTAAAGATTTTTCTTGTAAAGTTGTATAAAAAAAAATTTGTGCTTGCTCCTTTAGTAGGTTGGTAGAAGGATCAACATAAAAATTTAGCAATTTTTAACAATTGTATAATGTATCATAACGTACAGTTTAAAGTTGTATTTTTCTGTTAGCTATTTTACATGAACAAATTTTTAATATATGAGTATTTTTTCTATTATATTTTCTACTATTCTTTTCCAGTTGAAAAAGTATAGTTGGGCAAGCAAAATGTTCATTCGAGCTGTTTGGATAGAAAATACAGAGAAATAAAGTGAGAAAAATCGATCGATAATTTTTATGTGCTGGCTATCATCATTAAATGTAATAAATTGTTTCAATGAAATGCATAAACCGCATCTAACTAATACAGATTTACGCTGCTCAAAATTAAATGTCATGGAGATAATGTAATTTTTTTTTATATAAACATTAAGTCATTACTTTTTTTCCTTGTTTTTTTGACATGCTTTCATTCTGTTTATGTTGTTTTCAGTGTTTAGATATATTCTTTATTATATATTCTTTATTATATAATGTATTTAAGATCATGAGTTTTGTGATAAATTTAAATTTGCCACTACTAGTGATACTCAGATAGAATCAGATTCAGAAAACGGTAACTATTTTAAAAGATACTTAATTCAAGTATTATTAGTTTTATTTTGATAATAATTTTTATAGGAGCCACTACCATGCTTATGCAAGAGAAAACATAATAACCAACAGAATAGTAAGCAAGTACCTACTCCTGTAACGCAAAAAAAGAAACAGAAAACAATTTTTATGCATACTCTACATACTGTAGCTCAAGGTATTAATTGTCTGTCTGTAAGTTGATTTAGGAAGAAAAGATTCTGAACATTTTTTTCTATGCTTCAGTGATTTACACATTTTATTGGTTGCTAAATTAATACATTTTATTTAGTTTATGAATAATGTTTTATTTTATAAATGTTTTGTTCTTGTGTTTCAACCCTTTTAGAAATTAATTAATGTTTGGTTCTTTTGTCTTTCTGATATATCTTTATTGTTAGAAAGAGATGTTAGTAAAAACTCTTTCTAGTAATTAAAGTAATATCATGACAAATAGTTCTGAAAATTCTATGGATGAACTTGCAGCAGTAATTTAATGATTATGATAACAGTTTAAATGATTCTTGGGTGAGGTCAGAAGTGATGGGTTGTTTCAAACCATGACTTTTTGCAGTTTTTTTAATTGTTTTTTAAAAAAGTATTTATTAATAACTTAGCCTAAGTTAATCTACTTTTTATAAATGTACTATAAAAATAATGTGGTGTAATTATTTTCTTAAACCTTTAGGTTAACAAACTTTCTAAAATTGGAGGTAAAACCATTAAGACAAATAAAAAAAAATGTGATGCAAAGGTTTGTTAAAAGTAGTTTTATATAATAAATCTTTTGAATCTTTTTATTATAGTTTGTTTTCAACTTGTGTTAAAAATATGTGAAGCATATATTTTTAAAAGTTTGACGAATTCTACTCAGACGTAATATAAATCTTTTTTTTTTTATGTCTGATTATAATTTTTTTTGTAACTGTTTTCTCTTACTTTTGTATTTCCTTGAGCTAAAGAACAACCTTAAAGTACAAAGGTTGATTTGTAACGCATACTTAACCTTTTTTTTTACTCTATATATACATACATATATATGTTTATAAATAAACATACATATATATGTATTTATATATACATATGCTTTTATGAATATATTATATATATATATATATATATATATATATATATATATATATATATATATATATATATATATATATATATATATATATATATATATTTATATATATATAAATCCTTATAGTGTAGTCGAAAGAGTCTTTTAATGTAAAAAAAGTCACTTTCGACTACAATTTTAATTTCCTTGTCTCTTAAGCTGTATTTGATTGTCGTCGAAATGTCAAAGCAATTAAATTAGTGGGGAAGTACATTAAATTTTATTGTTTTTTAAAAAAATTTTAAAAAACCGCAATAATAACGACTAGAAAGTTTTTTTAATTAGTGGTGTTTTTATTTTTGTTATATTAAAAAGCATTTTTAAAACATGCGTAAATGTTGCTACATCAACTATCTTATAGCCTGCTGCTACAAGGGAGTATTTCTACATCGACTATCTTATAGCCTGACTCGCAACAGAGTGCTGCTACATCGACTGACAAATAGCCTTACTCGCAAGGGAGTGCTGCTACATCGACTGACTAATAGCCTGACTTGCAAGGGAGTGCTGCTACATCGACTGACAATTAGCCTGACTCGCAACGGAGTGCTGCTACAACAACTGACAAATAGCCTGACTTGCAAGGGAGTGCTGCTACATCGACTGACAAATAGCCTGACTTGCAACGGAGTGCTGCTAGATCGACTGACAAATAGCCTGACTTGCAAGGGAGTGCTGCTACATCGACTGACAAATAGCCTGACTCGCAACAGAGTGCTGCTACAACAACTGACAAATAGCCTGACTCGCAATGGAGTGCTGCTACATCGACTGAGGGTTTGGTTTGGGCAGGCAGTCTATCATTTTAAAAAAAAAATAACTTAAGTTTGTAAACTTTTTCTGGTCTGGTTTTTCTTGTAAACTTTTTCTTGTCATTATTGTAGATATATATATATATATATATATATATATATATATATATATATATATATATATATATATATATATATATATATATATATATATATATATATATATATATATATCTACAATAATAGTTCAATTTAAAGTTTTTTCTTTTATTTATAAAGTTGTACTTGATAAAAATAAATAAATAAAGTTGAACATTTTGAATATTTATTGGTTATTATGATAAATTATATAAAATATATATAAAGTATAAATATTTTGCAAAAACACTTTTATTTGCAATAACTACTTCATTGCATTGTGGCATGCTTGCAATTTATTTTTCATAGTTTCTGTCAACATTGGATTGTTATACCAGATCTTGATAATCTCTTCCATAAGATCTTGCTTATTAGTAAGATTTTTTTTTCCAATCTCTTGCTTTACTATTTCCTAAATGTTTTCTATGGGGTTAAGATCATGCGGTTTGTCTGGCTATAGCAATACATCAACTAAGCCATAAAAGTTTTTATTGTTTGGCAAGTTGAACCATCTTGCATAAATATAAGATTTTTGACATTATTTTTAATATTTTTAAATTTTTTTGTCAATTTTTGACTTTTTTGGCTGGACATCAATCCCTCTTCTTTTAGCCTTCTACAAATGGTCCGGTCTGACACAACAATTACAGCTTCATGGATAAGCTTAGTGGCTTTTTTTCTGTTTTCCAGGCAGATATTTCTGATTATACTGTCCGCTCTTGGTGTTTTTTTGCGTTTAGAAGGTGGTCTCCTTGGACACAACTCTTCCCCTGTATCAATTTTTTTTCTTACTTGCATTACGGTTTGGTAAGAAACCTTTGCGGTTTGTGCAATTTTTCATTGAGAATAATTTCTATTTTGTCTAAGACATGTTTATCAATTTTTAATGTAACTATAATAACAATGTATAATGCAGGTTGTTGACCAATGGTTTATAATCAAAATTTAATATGGCTGGCGGTAAAGGTAAAAAGAAGTTTAAAGGAACTAACGTTAGGTATTTACTTGTAAGTTAAGTGTAAAATTATATATTTTTTAAAAATCACAGTTCGTTTTTTTAATGCTATTTTATTTTTAACTTTTTGATGTATTTGATGAAAGTTACTCAGGCAATACCTTTTTTATAGAGAGAGTTTTGTCAATTAAAGTGACTGCTACAGTTGCCGAAATAAGAAAAGGAATAATGACTTTATTAAAATACGCACTCGACAGATCAAATGGTGGTGATCGGCGCGTAAAAGGCGATAAACCCGATGTATAACATTCATACTTTTTCCTAGTTGTTCTGGAACTATTAATAATAGTTATTATTGATAAATTGATAAATATATTACTGATAAATAAAACTTTTTTTTTTCAAACATTTTGTTTTATTTGCATTGTATATAGTCCGTTGAAGCAATTTAGTTGTATCTGATTAATTTACGTGAAATATAATATCCTCTGCGCAAATTATTGCTTTTTTATTGTGTTATTTTATTGCAATTAAAGTTGAGAAAATTTTTTAGTTAATTGGATTTAACCAAAATAAAAAACAAAAATCAACGTTGATTCAACGTTGTTTTAACGTCTTATCAACTACGTATCAATCAAATATATCACCTATTCAAAGTTGAAATATGGTTGATATGTAGTCGATAAGACGTTAGATCAACGTTGAAACGACGTAATCATCGACGTTGTTTCAACGTCGTAGTTTTCGACGTCGGATTTTATTTCCAATTCAACCAAATTTCAACGTTGTTTCAACGTGGCATATGGTCGGTTTGCGACGTTGTTTCAACGTTATTTCAACGTCATTGTGCCGGCTGGGAGGTGACGATACAAATTTGTTTTTCAATCACTCCAGTGCCAAAGATATAATCAAAACTACAAACATTGAAATCAAAAGTTTTTAGTTCTAATTCAAAACCAAAAATAAAAATATGTCTTTTATAAATAAGAAAGTAATTAATTTTTTGTGTAAGTTACCGAGGTGGTGCACAGTCAATCATCTATTACACTCTAGCTGGACAAAAATATTTTCTTCACTATTTCGATTGTTGTAATCATAAAAGATTAGAATTGAATTAATAATTTGTTATTTTATTGAATAATTAACTTAGGTTTAATAACTTAGAACGTTTATTTGTGGAAAATTAGGGGCAAACCCCCTCGGCTACAACTCTCCCAACACCCCCTCCCACACACACACACACACACATCCTCCCTAATTGCAGCAACTACTGTTATAATGAAAAAAAAATGAAGTACAAAATAAATAAAAATTTAAGAAGCAAGGATACACAATATTATATAATAAATTTAATTTTTAGTTATCAGAAGAATCTTCAGAAGACTCATCCTTTAAAACATTAAACGATTCATCAGAAGAATTACAATTTTCTATTCTTGGAGTTGGAACAATCAAATTCAAAACCTCTACTGAGCCTCTACATTTTTTTTTAAGGCAGTTCTCTGAATAAGTTGATAACAGGGTCAGGTGTTTTTAAGAACATACTCATAAGATCTATATTTGTCAAAATACGTGACTTTTTTCTATTAATATGTTCTTGAAATCACTTCAAATCTTTATTTCGTACTTTTCGAGATTCTTCCGAGAGCTGGCGGACTGGAAGAATACACGACTTTATAACTTCCGTAGTATGCATTCAAATTTTGCGCACTGTAACAGGCATGTAATACCACGAATATAAATCTAAGTATAAATTCCTAGTTTCATAACAAAGTTTTTCAAATTTAACACAATTAATGTCATGGCCACAAGATAGTGTTCTTAATAAAATACTAAATTTTTTAATTAATTCGACATCTAATCTAATCTAAAAGAACAAAGAGATTACTAATCCTGTAATCTCTTTGTCCTTTTCTGTATTTACAAGATCTGAAAATCTACAAGCTGTGTTGCCATCATTTTTATTGCGATAACAAGGTTTCGGTCTGTCCAATATATGTCCCTTTTTTTTGTGTAGAGCGCGTATTGGTTAAAGTATTGCATACTTTTCCATCTATCATCGTAAGTAACAGATAGTGTTTCACTGAGTTTATATTTTTATAAATATAAAATCACCAACAATAGACAGTGTTTAAAAAAGTGTTTTAGATATTTCTTTCAAAACTTTGTTAGTTTTTATTAAAAATAAAAACTAATAAAATTTTGAAAGAAATATCTCCTGTGTTTCTTTATATGAATTTAATTGGTCGACAATAAATTGTTGATGATGACCGAGGATTTTGTTAAATAATAGTATCACTCAATCTCAAATGAACAAACACAAACAAAAACAGAAATTCATCAATAGCAAATAGTTCCCAAATCTTTGTTTAGAGGTACTAAGGCCAGAACCTTTGTCGCATCCCCATTTGCTTATTAATGGAAACGACGAATTAGAGGATGCATTTTTGGGAAATCGACTTAGTGTTTATTAAATGTACAGTTTTTTTGTTCAATATGGCTTAATGTTTAACTTCAGCTCGTGTTTCTGAGACAGAAATAAATTCATCTGGATGGTAACACATTCTTTTGTGTTTAGATGATGGGATCGTCCGTAAATTACGTCACGCTATAGGTAGGGGAAGGGTATAATAGTTTTGTGATGACTCATACGGGGCTTGTTACTAAAGTGTTACGATGTTGTGACAAGAGGGAGGGGGGGGGGGGGGTCAAAAATCATCTAAAAATGCGTGGTGTAATTTATGGGCAAACCCTAAATTTTAATAAGCTGGAAATTCTTTATTTCCTGCTTTCAGTAACCACTTTCTTGTTTGTTTATAAGATTGACTGGTATACTTGGAATCTACATAATAAGCTTGTGCTTCATTGCTATTTAACTGCCTGCTACCACAAATAATATCAGTAGATTTTCTTCGTTTTAGTGTTTCTGTATTATTCTATTCCTTTCTGTATTATGATATTCTTAATAGAAGCAGCTACTTTTTTATTGACCCGACAAACGATGTGCTATTTCAGCAGCTGTAGTTAATTCATTGGCACTCCGTAATCGCAATAAGTTAACTCTACGTGTTTTGATTTTCTTAGATGACTAAAAATTTTTTTTTTGGCTGACTTGGAGACTAACTTCCTTTAGATGTTGTAAAAGCTTTGGACCGATGCAAATTTATTTTTAAATCTAAACTGTTGCCCTCGAACTAACTTTTATTTTTATTTAAAAGTTATCCTTAGTTTTATTACTGCATTCCATTTTTCTGCATTATGGCTGCATTCCATTTTTCTGCAAAGTTAGCGGATATGTTTGTATTTTTTTTTTTGAATCAATAGTAATATCTTCTGTAATATAGTCTTTCAGAACAAATTCACACAAAAGATATTTTTTTCTTCTTTTTATGTTTTTGCCATTTTTCAAATAACTCCAACTTTGCATTAGAATACACTTCGTCTGAAAAAAATTAAAAAAATAAAGTACACAGACACGGGCAGCCAAATTTTTATATTTTGTCACCTTATTGTTTTGGTTATGCTATATAAAAATATTTGCCTGGATATATTTAAATAAAATAAGTTACATACTTTGAAAATGAAAGAACAAAAAATAAATTGCAATTTACACATCTACACAGTTTACACAATCTACACAACATCACATATTGTAATTATTTGCATTATAACTTCAATAAGTACAAAGTACATACTCCCTTAAGTAAAACTCATCACAGCAGTCTTAATTATTATTCACAATAAATTAGTTATACGTTATAATTGTTACACTGGAAAATTGCAGCTAACTTTTTAAAAATATTATTCTTTAAGTGACACTTAAGCCCTATTGATTCATCACACTTTTAAGTGTGCTTGATTTAAAAATTGTAATTTTTCTTTAAGGGTGTATTCAGTAATATCAAGGGGTTATCAACTAATTAATTCTTTGAATTTTTGTCTAGCTAAACTGTATGAGTTGATTCACTGTGCGGTGTACCAATAAAAAAAAATGCTTTGTGATTTTTTTCTGTTTAAGTTAACAATAAAAAAAAACACTTTGTGAAAGTTGTATAGATTTTAGTAGATTTATTTGATAAAATTTTATAGTTGTTAAACCATGGACGTATAAGAGATCTATTACCAAGTTGGCACAAGACATAATTTAGACAATTTTTAAGTTTAAAGTTTTAGACTTGTGTTCTTTTGGAAACAACAGGTTCAATTTGACTTGTTTTTATTAATTTTTATAAGTATAACTATTGGTCAAATACCAATTAAAGTCTGTTAATTAGATAGAAATAAATCTTATGTAATTTTGCAACACATTTTTCAAGTCATTTATTAATGTTAATGGCAATCAAAACTGCGTTTTTCTAATGTCTGACATAAATAATATATATATATATATATATATATATATATATATATATATATATAACATATTAAATATGTTGATGATATAACTTCTTTATTCATCTTTAAAAGCTTTTGGCGTTTGTTCATTTATTATTATTATTTTTTTTGATTTTTTATTTAGCTAGCTTTTTCAAGTCATTTATTAATGTAAATGGCAATCAAAACTGCGTTTTTCTAATGTCTGACATAAATAATATATATATATATATATATATATATATATATATATATATATATATATATATATATATATATATATATATATATATATAACATATTAAATATGTTGATGATATAACTTCTTTATTCATCTTTAATTTTAATTTACAAAACAGCGTTTATTTTAATAAACAGTTTTCTATAATATGTTTTATACTATCAACATATTATAAAACATAAAAATATAATATATTATTGAATTTTTAAATAAAGCTTAAAAGGACTAAATTAAAATGACCATAACTTTCACGAATGCCTTTTCATTTATTACTTAATGTAAACTAAAATCACGTGACGTTAGTAACGCGAGTTTAAAGTAACGTGTGTAACTTGAGTTTATGGTTATAAAGTACTATTTTTTAAAATTCTAATAATATGAAGCTCTATAGAATTTCTATAGAATCTCTGTTTTTTCTGTAGAAATTCCGATTAATTTTTTTTTATAGAAAAAAATATTTCTATAGGCCAAATGTTTCAAAAGTTTATAGAAATTTTAAAGAACTTTTTTTCCTGGGTCGGCTAAGTTCCCCGACGTCACGAATCGGGAGGGGGCTCTAGCGAATTTAGTGGGGCCATTTGTGAATTTAGGAACTTTTTTTTTTTTTCAGTAATACCTTATAGAAATTTTTTTAGGATTTTAGGGCCCTTATAATAGGTTTTAGGGGTTCTCGAACCTAGTAGCCGCGGTACTATATATATATATATATATATATATATATATATATATATATATATATATATATATATATATATATATATATATATATATATATATATATATATATAATTTTTAAATGTAAATAAATAAGTTCATCAAGTTGTAAATATATTTAATACAAAACCGAATAAATGTTACAAGATAAATAGACACTTTTTAGTTTAAAAAATAATATAAAAAATTCTGTTTCATATAAATCTTTTTTTTCAAAGTTTTTTTCAAAATAAATATCTATAGTTAATAATATAATAAAAAGTTTTAAATAAATTTGTGTACATAATTGTAAAAGTTTAAACTTTATTAATTGGTTAACATTAAAAATGTTTTTTAAACTTTTTAAACTTCATAATTAGAATAAAAAATTCAAAGAGAAAAATTACCAGAATAAATTTGAGCAATTTCTTTAAAAAATAATTTGTACAAGTTTTACGAGAGCAATATATACAGTACTTATATGTACACTTCTTTGTATTAAAATAGCCTCTAGTCGTGTTTAGTCGCGATAATTGTTGTTGTATATTGGATTTTCTTCGGTATTGTTAAAAGTCGTTATAATACTGCGTCCACGCAAATCTGAAATAAATGGCATAAGAAAGAATTATTTATTCATTAAGGTTTACGCAGAATAGTTTTATATTTCATCCTCATAACTTTAACACACACAAATAACTTTATATTATTTTCTAATTATAGCTATGTTATAATTAATATAAATTAGAGTATTACATGCTGTAATCGTAATTATATTGGTTACAACATTTTTCATTGGTGAGACATGGTTTTAAACCATATGGTCATATCCCAGGAAAAAAAGTTCTATAGAGTTTTCTATAAACTTTTGAAACATATAGCCTATTGAAATTATATAAAATACAAAGTAAAACAAAATTTTTTTTTATTGTTTGTGTTTTGTCAGTAAAAAAACAACAAACATACAATTTCGTGTAATATAAATAATAATACATGATTGTGGCAAAATAAAGACAATATTTACCTTATCACTACGATCTTCAGAAAAAGAATATCACTATTAGCTTTTAAAAAAAAATAAAATCCAAAATATTCATAACAAATTTTAATTTAGATTACCTGAGTTGTCACTTTTTAAAAAAATTACTTTTTTTTCAGTACCTGAAACCTGTTTTAGCTTGAAAGACACTAGGTAGTTTTACAGCTTACATTGCTTCTGTGCACAGATTAATTATATGAAAAAAAGATGAATTATCAAATTGTTGAATTGTTAGATTGTTTAATGTATTATATTGATCATGATTGTTTGAATTACTTAGAACAAATAATTGACTTATATTATATATACTTATAATTGAAAAATAGTATAAAACTTATTCCCTTTGACTAAGCTTATAGCAGCTTAGTCGAAGGGAAGTTTTATACTATTTTTCTAGGTCAACTATTTGTTCTAAGTAATTCAAATAATCATGATCAATTTTATACATTAAATAATCTTACAATCCAACAATTTGATTTTGACCTTTCTAGTTTTATACGCCTTTTTTACACCGGGTGTATAAAACTAGAAAAATCGTGTTTTTTTTACAATCTATTTTATTGTACCCACTCGATAAAAAGTGATACGAAATCTAAAATCTAGTACACAATGCAAGATTAAGGAAAATTTAACAAAATATTTAAATCACTTCAAGTTCAAGTATTTGGTTAAAAAAGTAGTAGTTGGAATATTCAATTTATTTCTGAATAAACAACTGTACACAAATGACATTTTTGCTAGTTAAGACTAATTTTGTAAAAATAATATTTTGTAATAAGATAAATTCAAAATACTATCAATCTTAGTACTTAGGTAAAAACCAAAATAGCCAGAGTATAACTAAATTTAACTAAATACTAATGTTTTCTAGACAACATTTTAAATGTTTTTTTTTTTATCTAGATAAAAGATATCTAAATTAGTATGGCAAACCTCGAATCTTAAAAACGTTTTAATTTATCTTTAGAAAAAATTTCTTACTTAAGCTACCTTCAGCAGGATATCTTCTTAAAAGCAAAGGGTAAGATTCAATTTTACCGCTCTGAGGGTGAAAGTATGACGGCGGCCTTGGAATTTGTCCTCTCTTTTGTAGCATTTCTCTGGCAGCTTCTTTCTGGTTTTCTGATATAGAATTTTCATCTTGGGCGTTTTGATAGTTTTCGCTTTGTGGATTGTTAGGTGCCATATAATTTTCAAGATTTTTTGGAGCTTCATCGGAATTTCGACTAAATTGTTGAAATTGGGTTTGAAATCCGTCATCACCGATTGGCGTACTTGTAAGATGATCTATATCGTTGTTCATTATTTGTGTCTTAATTAGATTATATTCCTGGTCATTGTTTGTTTGGGTGTTCCTTTCTTGATCACTTGTTTGAAATTTATTGTTGTCATCAGGTTGATAAACTTCATTTGATTGTGTAAACATTTGTCCAGTTGAACCTTCATTCTTTGTTTGATATAAGTTTTGAGTCGGACTGTTTAATTCTAATTGTTCTGGGTATTGTATTCTTGATCGTTTTAAGTTATAGTTTTTCAGGTTATTTTTTTCCTTGTCTTCTTTATTTAAAATTTCGGACTTTTTTTGCTTATAGTAAAAGTTTACCCCATATCTTGGATCTTGCATCATTCCATTTTGGTTTTTTTTAAAACTCGAATAAATTGGGATAAAATTATTTCCACCACGATTATCTGCCGAAAGAAAAAAAACTTATTGCCAGTATTTAATGCAATAGAGCATGATATCAACCCAATTAATAGCATAATTATCATAATTATCGGTAAATATTATTTAAACAATTGTAGTTAGAAAAGATAGTCAACTGTTATTGTAAGAGTTATTTATGCATAAACGCACACACACACAGACACACACACAAATAATTCAGTTGTTATAAGATAAGCTATTAAAGAACATTTTTACAAAATTAAAAACTAAGAGATTTTTTAATGTTGCACACTAAAATAAAAGTATATATTCTTACTATTCCATTTTTGTGCAAAAAAGGTATTTGTTACTGGTGCATTTTGATTTTTCCCAATAAGCTGTTTGCGATTTAACGTATTTTGTTTAGCTGTAATATGCTCTCTTGTCACTAAAGTTTTTATAAAAAAATAAAATTAAATAACAATAGAAACTTTGTTGTGAAAAAGAAGGGAAAATAAAATCTCACAACTTCCTTCTGCTGGTCTCATTCTTAAAACTAACGGGAAGGAATCAACGTGAGCAACAGGTAATGGTATTCCAGATTTCTTGAAAACATCATTTGATACTTTTTTGTAAACATGTCCTAAAAACGTATTAGATAAGTATAGGTTAATATATATAAAATATATAAATAAAAGTAAATACAATTTATCATCATAAAACATTCAAGAAAGTGAATTACTCTATTTGCTATGATAGATGTAGAAAATTGTCGAAAAAAAATTTAAGAAAAATTTCACCAAATCATATTTATTTGAAAAATAAAAAACAATTTTTAATAACATTTCAAACTTTGATGATATTAGTCATAAATATCCAACTATATTTTCAATAAATGTAATACTTCAAATATTAAATTTTAAATATCTTTTACAATAACTAAAAAGATTTAAACTAAATAAATTATTTTAAATTATTATTCCCGTACTTAAACTTTTGCATATAGTTGGAAAGAGCTGTTAAAAGAAATGAAAAATACTTTTGCGGTTGATAATAAACTGATAATAAACTGCAGCCGTATTATCATCTCTCCGTTAAGTTTAACGGAACTTTTGTCTGAAATTTTAATACAATATATCTAAGTAAAGAAATGACAAAAACCTTATTTAAATTTTTAAAAATAAAACTAATACTAAAATAAAACATTTATTTTTAAAAATTTATATTTTTAAAGAACTTTTTTATTAATGTAGTTAAACAGAAATTTTTTACTGACGCTCCGTTAAGCTTAACGGAGAGATAAGAATAAGATACGGCCTTACGAGAGATAAGAATACGGCCCCTGATAAATAAAAAAATTCGTAAATAATATTCTCTATGAAATTTCAATTAAATCTTTTAATATACTGGTTTTATTTAATGTTAATTTTGTGCTTATTTAGTACTATTTTTTTTGTGGCTCAATTCAAGTTTTTGAAAATAATATTTTCAAAAACTTGAACATTAGGAAAATTACTTATCGTGCAATTGCAGAATTTGACGGCAAAATTATAACCGTATTTCTATTTCCTGGAAGAAAATTTTTTTAAATTTTTTTATTGGGTCAGCGGTGAAGTTGTAAAAGCTCTAATAGATATATAACAAGAACAACAGGCAACTTCACACTGCCTAAAAGAACAACAAAGTTCTCACGGTTTTCTATTTCCTACCGGGATCCGTACCTGTATAACAAAATAATATCCAAAAATATAGAACTTTAAGTATTAAATAATCCTGCCAACTTGAAAATAAATTAAAACACCTCATACTTAATAACAACAACTATATCGGCATTTATTAAACTTAGCACTAAATTTTTTACTAAAACGTTTTTGTGTATCATTGAGTGTATATTGTTTAATCACTTTTGACTATATATAAAAATGAAATAGAATAACAAATAATGTAAAATTAATAAAAACATTATTAACAATAAAAAAAAAAATTCTATTTTCATTTATAGTTCTCAAGTTATTTAAATTGAAAGAATTAGTGGCGAGATTACCCCATCTTACTCTATACGAAACATTACTTTCACGAACTCTAAACTACATCATAGATTCAAATTCTGTATTTTTTTTTTATTTTCAGGGGCTGTTCAAGTAATACATGACACTTTTTTTTTCCGTTTTTATAAATCCCTTTCGTCCTTTGTGACATTTTGAAGAACCACCACCCCTACCCACCCTGTGAGACGTGACAAAAACAAAAAATATTTTTTATAAGTTTATATCGCAATTGTAATAGTTTATGTTTTAAAAAAAAAAATACAAATTGATGAATTTCAGTCTAAAAACTAAATTTGTTCCCAAATCGGACTTTGATCTTCAAGTATTGGAGTTCCATGTTCTTCAATATTTTTTGAAAGCCAATTGAGGTCAGAAGTATCAACATCGTTCTCATCATACCACTCTATTGTTTCTTTATCAGAATTTAAAACGACACACATGAGTTCAGATAGACGTTGAGCAACTAGACAATGAGGTTTAATTTTTTGAATCTCATTTAAATATTCAATACTTGAGCAAACTGTTTTGTGCTATTTCATTGATTTGATAGTGGCAAAATATAAACTGAAATTAATACAATTTTTTTTAGTAAGGAGTTTTGAATGCTTAGACATAAGTAATCGTATGGCAATCCATTGGGGTACTTTTTTGCAACTGTTGTCGGCAATATTGTTTTGCAAAAAGGTAAGTTTAAAAAGAGGCATGCAAAGTTGTTCTTTGTGTTATTGCATTCAAAACCATCTTCTCCTTCGAACAAATAAGTTGGAGGTGGAAGAAAACCCGTTGGAATAAGATGAAACAGTGAGCTGCGACAATGACCAGAACAGTTTTGATCAATACATTTTGCTTTAGTTTCAAATCCATCAATGACTGTGTAAGACTAAGTTTGTGCAACAACTTCACTAGCTTTGGCAAAATTTGTCTTCTCTAATAACTTTCATCTGGCCCACTATCAACAGTTATAATCATGACTGGTTCGCTAACTCCATCTTCCGTTAATAAGCTGCTTTTAAATGCAGGAAGATGGTTTATTCTGTTCATGTCTTTTAAGTGACTAAGTGCTGTTGATGAATCATGCTTTGCACTTCTGATTGCTATATATGTTGGGCCAGAACATGTGACTGCTTGCTTTTTAATGCAATCTTTTTTGATTTCTGTAGCTGCAATTACTGAAGGAATAAGTTTATGAAATTATAAAAATCATGATCAGCTAAAGTTACCTTGTACTCCATATGCAACATCATTGTTGCTTGTTTGTTTTCGGCTGTCAATCCAATTGGCACCCTGGCTTTATCATCCTCGGAATAAAAAGTCATTTCTTAAGGACCCAAGACTGCCGCTACTTCTTCAAGGGCAGTGATGGATGATTTAGAAAATTTTATGTCTGCATGATATTTATGCTTAGTATTTTGCGCTCTTATTAACCAAATAGATGCATTTGCAACATGTCTTTTTTCTTCTTGGTTCAATGGTCTGCTTGAAAGTAATCTTAAGTGAACTCCTGATCTTGATTGTACCAACCGTTTCGTAACCATACTTTTTCAGTTCTTCAAACAATTATTTTTAATGTTTTTTACAGTTCGAACAATTTCAGTTTTTCTCCTATCATCAGAAGCAGACGCTTTCATGGTTAAATCTATAATTGCTTTTATTAAACTGTCCTGATCACACGGTAGCGGTCGACTTTTTGATACTGAATTTTTAACTCCATACGATTTTTTTCTAATATCTGGATCTAAAGCTTCTGTTGCTTTTTTTCTTTTAAGTCTGGTTGCTGTTTAACGTTCAGTGACTTTTTGACGATGTGTAAGATCTCGGTTTTTTCTACCAAAAGTTTTTGCTTTTTCCCTAATACTTGGTAGTCTTCTTGTGACAACAAATTGCAGCTTCTTCTTTTAGTAAGATATGCAATATCTTTATGTAAAATAAAAATTTCATTCTTTAACTGATCTTGTTTCGGGGCTTGTTTTGTTAAAAATTTTGACAAATTATAGTTTTTTCTTTTACTCTCTTCACTTGGTGTTATTGATGGGGTCGCATCACGCCATCAAAAGAGATTTTAGATTCACGCCATCACGTCACGCCATCAAAAGAGATTTTAGATTCAACCGCACGCTTTTTTGGTATATTCGGTACATGGTTCGGTAATTTTGTCAAAATACTAATTTTATTTCGGAGTTCAATTTATTTTAACTCTTTCATTTTTTTTTTCAACTTCTACATTTAATTCGGAAATTATTTGGCTCTTTGTTATAATACCAGACCAGATTTCATTTGTTTCTTCTTGAGACTTTTACTTTTGGTTTGTTTGCTAATGCTTTTAAATATCTTTCATAAATTAATTTGTAATGTTGTTCCTTTTTATTAGACATTTTTAATTTTTAACAACAACAACAACAACAACAACAACAACAACAACAAGAAATTTATTTTCCTTACAACCATTACGTTAAATATGTATACGTTACAACCATTAGTTTAAATATAGTAAAAATAGTATGAATAATAGCATTAATAATAGTACTTTTAATTACTTAAACTTATTTCATAGTAACTAAATAACTTAATATATAATAAAAATATAAGTAACCTAATATATAATAAAAATAATAACGTAACTAAAGTAGACAAGTTATATTATAATAGAGCGACAAAAAATATTAAAAGTAATAATAATAGTAACATTAAAAATAAAAGTATTGCAAAGCTAAAATATTTATTGATCAGATGACGATCAAGAATAATGTATTATGTTAGAAAATCTGATTTTAGGCGATAATTAATACTAAAATTTTTAGTCTATTTATACGAATATAATAGTCGTTAAAAAAATAAAATAAGGTTTTTAATGGTAATATGAATTGTTTTTAAATAATTGCCCATTATCTATGTTTGTAGGATTAAAGTTTCTTTTTATGCGTGCGATTAAACTAGTAATTTTCTTATGGCTTAATCACAAGTAGTTTTCTTATGGTGTAAATTTAGTTAAAAATTTTCCGATCATTTAAGGTGAACGTATAAAAAAAATAATTTGAATTTTTTATTTTCATTTGTTATGACTCCGTTAAATAATAAACGCTCGCCACTTGTGAAATCGTTGGATATTGTTTTTCTTGAAAATTTCCGTATTATATATAAATATCTCTGAGTTTGCAATTTGAACAAATTACGCAGTGATAGATTTAATTTAAAATGTTTTTTTTCACGTCACACAGTAGCAAACCATCCCCCTCCCATGCGATATCTGGTGACGCTTTCCATTACCCTCCCCCCCCCTACATCCTAAGACTCTCACCTATTATTTGAACAGCCCCTTATAGTTGCAATTTGAACACAAAAAAGTTCCGATGTTAAATATGTTTAATATTTCTTTATAACAACTCTTTTTTTCAAATTTAAAAAAATAATGCAGTCAATCTGGAAAGATATTGAAGTTTTGACATTTGCGTTTGTTCGGTTTTATTATTAAATTTTTACGCTTTCATAGCCGGTTTATGATCCTTTGCATTCTGTTTCTTATTTTCATATTGTCTAAGTTAGATTGTGATTTTGTTTTAGAAATACTTTAAATATTTTTGTCTCCTTTGTTCTTGCA